AAAAAAAAAAAGAAAAGGAATAAACTAGCAAATAAAATTCATTATTTTAGTCAGTACTCTAATAGTTTAAAATACAAATTCTCATCTTACATATATATATATATATGTATATTCAATAAATGATTTAAGAAATTTAGAAAACTCGGTTGAATTGCAGCTCCATATTGCTACTTGGACATCCTCAATGTTCCAGCAATATCCGAGGTAGTTGTTAATCACAATATTGACACAATAGTGCATTTCTCAGCCTTGTTGAGCGCTGTTGGTGAGAACAATGTACCACTTGCACTCCAAGTGAATGGCCAAGGAGTGCAAAATGTTCTCGAAGTTGCTAAGTAAGTTTCTCATCAGCATATACTCAAGTTTTACATACAGCAGCTGCAGTCAGTAACCAAAAACATCTCTCAACAGTGTTGTTTGTTTGAAAAATTGCTTCTGATCCAATACAGTTTTAGAAATCACAAACTACAAGTGTTTATACCAAGTACCATCGGAGCTTTTGGACCAACGACACCAAGACAGAACACTCCGGATTTGTGTATTCAACGACCACGAACTATATATGGGGTTACCAAAGTAAATCACTTTTATTAATATTCCTTTTCTTTTGATTATATGTATCATCTACCTTAATTATTAGATAGCTCATGGTCATTATTCTTAAAGGAGACATCAACGCTCTCATCTTTTGTTTCGTCCTATTTTTGTCATTCTTTTACTTTTCCAATATAAAAATGTGGCACAATTTCGGTTATGTCACGAATATGGATCCTATTTCATTAGCAGAGGTTGCACCTACCTATTTATACCTTGAAAAACAAATAATTTAAAAAAATTATTTTTAATCATCTTTCCTATATCCTCTCAATCTCTCTTCTTTTGCCCCGTCTTACCAACTTATCTTCTGTAGTTTACCGGCAAAGCTCTTTCTCTCAGAAATTTTCCAACTGTTACCACCTATGAAAGGAACGGAATTTTTAATGCTAAATATTTCTCTTAGGTTTACGCAGAACTGCTCGGTGAGTATTATCACGAACGTTTTGGTGTTGATTTTCGATCTCTTCGGTTCCCAGGAATTATTAGTGCAATAAAGCCGGGAGGAGGAACAACTGGTATAGTTAAGAAGTTTTTTGCTAACTGGAATTGTTTCTGCCATGATTTTTTCACCAAGCACGAACAATAAGAAGTGTTTTTGCATAGAACAAGAGCAAAACTCAATTCTGCCTCATCAGACAAGGTTTTTGTCCAAGAAAAAAGTTGGCGAATTGAAACGCATATAGTGGATCTCATTTTTTTGAAAAAAATTTTTATTTGGATGTTTTGAAATATATTGTAGTGTTTATTTCAAACCTACAGATTACGCCATTCAAATCTTTTATGACGCAATATTGTACGGAAAGCATAAATGCTATCTAAAGCCAGATACCAGGCTCCCAATGATGTATGACAACGACTGCACCGCTTCAGTCGTTTTCGTAAGCATATTAAAAAATTCATAACCAACAGTAAAGGAGAATTAATAAATTTAAAATTGGAAAAAACACCAATAACTTTAGCACTTTTGGAACTTTTGATACAAAGTGTAATGTTCAAATCGCTCTTTTTTCTTCATGAATAGCTTGAAGTGCAGTGAAAACAACAGTTTCAAAAGTATGTTTGTTACTCCAATTGCAGTTCTTGGCTTCTGATGGCAATAAACTCCCTCAACGAACCTACAACGTTACTGGGTATTCCTTTACACCTGAAGAAATTGCAGCTGAAATTCGTAAAATTATGCCTGAATTCAAGATAGAATACGAAATTTGTCCAATAAGGCAAAAGATTGGTAGGACATAACAATTCATCTTCTTTTGAACGAGAACAAACCTTTGCTGCATAATTGAAGGAGTTTTGATTAATAGACCTTAACCTCTTTTTCAATCTCTGATATACGATTTACGTAACTCTAAATGTACCTTAAATTTGGTATGATCAAAAGACCGTAATTTTCTTTTGTCGATACCACTTCTAAAAGCATTTGACAGCGCTTACTGTTGTAGCTGACTCTTGGCCCCAAAGTCTCGATGATAGCCATGCCAAAAGGGATTGGGGGTGGAAGCCAGCTTATGACCTGGATGCAACCGTAAAAATCATGTTTGACCTGATCGGAAGGCAAATTGAGCAGGAGAAAAAAATTTCAGCATCCGCGTAAGCCCCACCGCCGTATCTTTAAATTCAGACAGCAAATAAAATTGACGAGAGATTTAACATCGCGATGGACAAATTTTCCATCTACCTACCAAAAAGTGTATAATTATCTTTTAGCTATTTAATTGTCTTTAAATTTTGTTATCCTGACCTAACATATTTGTTAAGTTGTTTGTTTATAGGTATCATTTAGCTGAAAAAGTCACTTTCGTTCACTCTTAGTTGCTAGACCTAAAAGTTGTGGCTGATTTGGTTTTGCAAATATCCACTGTTCCTTTGTAAAAATTTAAGCATATTCATGTTCCAACAAATTACTCTTGGTTTCAAAATGAGAAAAATTAAGAAAAGTTTATCAAATAACGTTTACAACCGTTAACATTTTCTGCAATTTTCTTTGTACTTCGAATTTTACATCACAAATGTGCTTATCTTGACCTGGAACCGAATTGACTATGTCAAGAAAAAATTTTCATTTTTTCAAGTTGTAAGGCAGTAAAAAAAGATGTAATGAGCTTCAAATGCTTGCTTGGTAATTGCGTGAAAATTTTTTTACACTGAATAATTTTATCAATTATTTGCGTGAGATGTCAAGAATATTTAATTTTTTTGATTGTTAAATACTTGATGCTGAAAGAGTTGTTTTACTTTTATTATGTTAAAAGATCAAATTTAATAAAGTAATTTCTTTTTTTCGCCTTCCCTTATTTCCTCATCAATAACTATGCTCTTTTTTGTGATTATTTAACAGAAGACTGTACGAAACGGAGATCAATGAACATTGTCACTTCTGTGCTTACTGGCCATTGCCTTTCTAAAGAAGTTTGTTCAGTCCGTCTTCAGCAACTGTCTTCACTAATCACAGTTATTTACAGAGACTGAAAACAGTTTCAGACAAAAAAGATTTTGAATGCCCAAAAAAATTGAGGTTATTTCCAGCGACGATATAGATATAAAGTAACAACTTCCTTCAGTTTCATTTCACAAAATCGCTGTATTCTTTGATCATCCCTTTCTCTGTGCAGCCAGCACTAATTTGCTTCAGCAGCCTGTAAAATCCAAAAAAATTAACCTGTCAACCTCAGCTCTATCTTCCTCAATGAATCCTGTTTTTAAGAAACATTTAGAAAATTGCAATTGGACCGGGTTGTATCGCAAAACTATATTAAAAATACCTTTGAAAAGTTTGAAACTAACTAATGACCCTGGAACAACAAGTTCAAAAGTGATTCTCCAACCTCGGAACATATACATGCCACAAAGAAGACACAGTTGTAAGGAAATTTCACGGGACACTTCTGTTAGCCCTTATAAAGCCCTAAATAAAAAATAGATTTTTGAACTGGAATAAGATGTACACCACCATTTCTGGAGACTGTGTTCATGAAACCGTCATCGTAAAGCGATTCCATCTAACTTTCCAAACCACGTTTTTTTTTTTTTTTTTGCGAGAATTCATTACCACCTGGTCAAAGAGATACTACAGTTTTATGCATTTGTACAGCTGCAAAACTTGAACCATAACGAATTACTACTGTTCAAACAACGAACTGTCCTCAGTACTTTAATTCATCCCAAAATCCTAATAATTCTACTAGGTCTTAAATCGTAGCATTTCTGATTTCTTGTACTTCGCAAGTCAGTCATTCCCCTCTTTCATACCTCTTTCAGTGTTTTTCCTCCAAAACTTTTCAAGCCGTCCCGTAAAAAGCAGATCCCTCCCTACCGCAGAACCTTCAAAAATACTCCGCCTAAACGAAACCTCCAATGAAAATAAAGCCAACTATGCGAAGTACAAAGGTCACCAGTTAAAGAAATAAACGACTGCAAATATTTAACGGAGCCTGATTTTTATGACTTACTCAAACGGAACCCAGAGAAATGGGAAAAAAACCCTTTTTGCAATATGCGGAACATACGATGCTTATGACAGTGCCTTATCACTTCACTGCAAGGCCTCTCCTGAGGTCACGGGCGAATCTATTTCTAAATAAATTCTGTATCATTACGGAATAGGACCTCCTTGGCTTCTGCAGCGAAAATTTAATCGCTTGCCAAAATTCATTATGATATAAAAAATGTGCTTTCGATAAAGGCTGCTTGGAAAAGCTCATAGTTTCCAGTTAAAAATTGTTGCCGAACTTTGGTTAATTTATTTCAACCGGTATTTTTTCTGTCAAATTGTTGTTCTTTAGGAGGTAGATTCAGCTATGTTTGTGAGGGGTCTTTCTACGGGATTCTTTGTTTTGTGAAATTTCAGTTTTCGTTTTTTGGTGATACTTGACTTTATAAAATCAGCTATTGAAGTTTTTCAAAGATTGTTTTTTAGCTTCTAAAGTAATCAAGGTTCACGCTTGACAGGTTTGCTGAGATTTATCCAATTTCACAAATGAAACCAGGCTCAATTTGACAAATCTTTTCTTTACTATTTACATTCGTGAAACAGTGTCTCGATCGGTTTGTTCAGACGCCGTTGGCCCGTTGTCGAAGACGCTTTTTATCTTTCTTTGTAATTATCAGTGATCTGTCGCTTAGCTTCAAAATTACACTACATTAACTTAGAATCTACCCATTATTCCCCATGTTCCATTTCACTGAAGATAGATAAGGTTTCTACCTGTTTCAGTTATACACTGTCACAGATCTTGCATACAGTGAGTGGCAGCAACCACCCGCCAGTGAAACAGAAAAATTTTAGTTTTAAAGAATAGAGCGAATCTATGCTGGCACCTAGTTAGCATACCAAAAATATGAGAATGACACACACCCAGAAACATCATACTGCTGCTAAGGTGGTCAAGAGAAAGGCAACTAAATGCATTAGGTTACATGGTTGAGAAGCAAGGCGGGAACTGTAAGATTTCTTCATAACAACCACCGGAGATTTAGGTCATCTAAAACTAGCAGTTACGAAATGGTAAGAGAAATAGTTTTGGTGAAAATGGCTGGTTGTGGGCTTTGGTAAGTGGTTTCCGTGAACCACTGTGTTAATAATTATATCAGTTGCTGTATCAGTTTTAAGGTTTATTCTGGTGGAATTTGGTTTCGGTTGTTAGAGCCAAATGCATCTTTGTTAGTCCTTAATTGTTTTTCTTATAGCGCATTCTTTCTTTTTTTTTCTTAGCTGTTCGTTGTAATGAATTCTGTTATTGCTTATTAAAGAAGTTTATACCTCATCACTCTTTTATAGCTGTGTTTGGATTATACAGGTTTAGAGCGGTAGTTGGAATGCTATGGCTACAGTGGCAGAAGCCTTACAGAAAATAGTGAACGAAAAAACGTGGAGATTAAGTAACCTGATTGAATCGCAAAGGTATACAGGAAACTTGTACAACTAAGATTTCCAGCTTTTCCGCAGTTTGTTTATGTACGACAGTTCTCTTTAGCGTCTTCAAATGTGGTGATTCAAGAAATTATTTTCACAGCATTGACAAAGGTTATATTTTACATAGATCTTGTGAATTTCATTCAGGAGTTCTTTAACAAGTGATAAAGCTGAAGACCGCAGAAAAGCTTTAGAGTTTTTATCCGGTGTTATCAGCAAGTTGCCAGAAAAACTACTGCTTGGAAAAGAAGGTTGTGTTTTGTCTTTAAACTTCGTAGTTTTTACACTTTTTTCTTAAAATGTAATGCTTTAGTTTTACACCTTTTGGAATACTTTACAAACGCGTTTGAAAGCACACCGGAAGCCTACTCTCCATGTATCCTCGTCATCCATTCACTGGTCATATTTTCCTCTAATCAGGGTTTTTTTAGTGCAAGGAAAGAGATATATTCCATTTTATCTTTGTGACTGTAACAGAGAATTTTTTAAGGTGCAATGCATTCACCAATTTCCATTTGGTAGTGAGTATTCGTTATTCACGACAATTTTTAGCACTAATCATTTGCAAGAATTACCTCAGAATGATCGCTTGAAAGCACTGCAAATCCTTCTTAATTTACTTGAACAAGATCGTGAAGGTACGAACATTTTGATTTTTTAAAGATCTAATGTTCAAGAGGAAGACCCCTAAGTTTTGTGTTGCTTTGGTTGTTTTTTAGATATTCGAATTTTTATTTCTGCTTTACAGCCTTTCTCTCGTTTAACGATGAACTTATTCTTGGGTTCATCCAGTCTTCACAGGGCGAGGCAGACCCTAGATGTCTTATGGTGGTATTTCGGATTTTTTACCTCGTTTCAAAAAACTTTCGATTAGGTTTTTTTATCATTTTTTATTCTTTTCCATTTAATTAACTTTGGTAGCTTCTAAGACAGTAATTCGAATTAAATGACAGTATCTGTTTTAGTTCTTTGATTTTTTAAAATTTTTCAAATAGTTTTCAACTATTTTCAGCAGTGTTTGATCTAAAAAAAATTTAGGTTTATTTGTAGACGACTTATTCGAAGTTATTGCTTGTTACTATCCAGTAGAATTTACGCCAGTAAGATTATTTTTTGCATAAATTACATTTCTGTTTATTATCTGCTTATTTAACATCTTTTGACAAAGGAATAACGATTTTTTCAAATATTTTGAACATATTTTTCACAGAGATAATGATTAATCTGGGCTTTTTTATTCTGAGAAAGATAAAAGTGTTATCACACGTGACATGCTTGTGGAAGCATGTGAAGAATGTCTGCTATCTAATCAGTTATTTGGTTCGTTCACTTATCAACTGATTGTTGAAAAGATTTTGGATGATGATGTCAGAGAGCCGTTTAAAATAGAAGTCTGTTCTTTCATGGTAAGTATTAATGAAAGTTTGGTTTCTTATCTGCTTTATATTAATTTTCTTAAAAAAAACTTAGAGTCGAGCATGTTCCACTTTCTCTCCTGCCACTTTGCGAGATCAATTGGACGATGTCTTAGGAAGCATCCGCATGGTAGCTTTTAATCCTTCTAGTAAAAACGCTGGTACTTCAATGCCGTTACCTGTGCTTAAAGCGATAGAAGCAATTATTTCTTGCCTTTCAAGTGACAAGGAGGTTAGTAGTTTTTCTGTATTTTAGTATAAATTTGAGGATCTCATTTTTCTATTCAGTATCAGTGAGGTTTTAGGAAGGGACCCAAAGTCTTATCGAACTTACCGACAATCTCTTGGAAAGTAAGCTTTTAAAAGAAAATTATCTTTGTAATAATTTGCTTACATTTTTAAAACCTAATTTTTTTCGCAGATTGTGAGCCGTTTGTACTTGAGGCGGATCTGGGTCTTACGAAACGTGCTTTGGAACTATTTGAAGCTGTTGCACGCTGTAGTAAAATAACATCTGGGAAAATACTTGAAGCTGTATTTAAGTGGCTGTTTTTATTACTCTCAGGTTGGTTTTCGCTTGGTAACTTTCACTGTTTCTGCAATGGTTTTGAATATAAATGTTTCTTCACCTACTTCTTTTCTAATTGTTATTTGATATAAGCTTATTATCTTTTTTTTCCGTTCTTGACTCACCGTTCTTTTTTGGTAGGAACCAAGGTGCATACAATAACAGACCAACAAGAAGTGGTGTCAGATTCCGTAGAGTGGCTTTTACGTTGGTGTAAAGTCGCGATCGAAATCGGAAATAGTTAGTGTTATAACAGTTCTGAAACTGGCAGTCACAATGGATCTTTTGAGCATTTACTTTTATACAGCTTGATATAACAACTATTGCAGTAATTTTATAAAAAGTTTTTTAGCCGACATGCCGCTTCAGCATTACCAAGCGTTCATGAATGTTCTGCGCGACGAGCGTAGTCTCTCGAAAACAACTCATTTCAAGTTTGCTGAGGTGGTAATTTAATTAACCCTGGTTATCTTAGTGTTTTCATTTGTACGGAAAACTAAATACCAAAGTGAAAAGTAATTTGGTAGCAATGAAGGGTGAAGTCAATGCCTTTATTGCCACTTACTCTCTTGCATTGTTTCAGCTGTATCTTCCGTTGATTAGCGGTAGTGAATTTGACTTTTTTTGTCGATCACTCTTTGTTGACTGCGTGAAATATGTCGGGGACCCTAACCTCAGGTTTTTCAAGTGCCACAGTTGGAGAGCACAGCCCATACCTCTCACGCTTTTCAGAAACTTTAAAGCTAGAAGCCATTTAAGACTTTAATAGTAATATTTCCGCCACTGCGCATCGAATCACATTATTTCAGGTCTTGTTTTCTCGCTTTTGTACATGAGCTTGCACAAAGCAAATGGAACTTTTTTGTTACCTGTCTCTCCGAACTCCTGAGCAGTATGTCAGGTCAGCTTAGTATTTTTACTTAAATTACAGCATCTGCGGTATATAAGGGTTAAATAGACTAGTTTCTCTCCTTCTTTGGTCCACTTTCCAGTCCGTGACCATTTCCCTTTCATCTTTGAAGAGGATAATTTTATCGGCTATTTCAAGTTTTCGTTTAGATAGCTTTTTAAAAATTTAGTGGGCTTCCTATTGGGCTTTAATACTTATAATATTATTGCCTTTCATAATTAAGCATAGCTCGTAGTTTCATTTTTTTGTAATTCTAAAATTTTAGATGAGGAATCTGTTATAGCCATCTGTTGTGCTTCTATTCACGACACTGAAAGTATGGCATTTGCGTTCCCACATATAGTCAGTTCAGATATTTTTTTATCTCCGGGTTGGTTTTTTTTCAAAACTTTATCCTGCAAGTTTCCTAAGAGTGAAACTTTCTGATTTTTTTTGGAGCCGCTTGCAGCATCCTTTAGGACATCATATATTAGTACCTTTTCAATAGTCCAGTCGTCTATTTGTTTTTGTAATACTGGCTGTTCATTTGGAGCTGCCGTACCTTACTTTTAAAGACTCATGATGAATGCCATTTTTCAGTTAGGACCTCATTCATTTTGAGCAATATCTTAAAAGTTTTTCTGACGAACAAGTCGAAAGAGGCACTATGCATGAATTTTTTTGAATCTCTCGTGACGTTGCTTTGTCGAAATTATACTGGTAAATGTACGACAGAAGTAGCTTCTGCCTTGCAAGACATCGGACTAACATTTTCATCTAAGTTAGTTCTTCTCTTCGCTTCTATGTGGCCGTTTTCCTTGTTTTACGTCATATTTTCTCAAGTTAATGATTCTTTAGGACTCATAGTAAGGCTGTTCTTCATTGTGCTGATCTATTGAAAGAAAGGACTGCCGTGGTTGAAATTTTTTATCTACTTTTTTTGCAGTGTCAGGTGAATTCGTTAAATCTGTATGTTGGGGACTCAAGTCCACCAATATTTTTGGACTTTTTTTAGCACTTTTTCTTTTTTGGCGATATTTCCTGAATTCGTTTTGTTGAAATTGAAATGGATATTTTTTATTTTAGGAGGTAGAAACTTTACAAAATATTATTCTCCTGCTAGGGATGGATGAGATTTTCTGTAGGTATCGGATGTTACTTGCTACAACAATTATCAATAGGGCGTCTAGTGATCCTGAAAAAGCAGTAGACTATTCTGCAATCTCAAATAAAATAAATTTCGAGGAAAACTTCTGGTGGAGAGGAAGATTATGTAAAATGCTGTTGTTACGAAATTATGAGGGAGGTGTGTGTCTCCTTCAACAGGTATTTACTGCTTATTCTTTTCATATTCAACCTAAAATAAAATGTTCCACATCGACCGTTGCATCCACCAATAGTTTTTATTATAACTTTTCTAAGTTGTAAGAAGCAAGCTTTTGTGAAAACAATTTTCTGCTTTTTTGCTCCATTTCAAATGAGAAATTGGACTAAGTTTTAAACTATTCTTTATACTATTTAGTTTTCATTTATCTGTTATGATTTCAAAGAAGTGTATTCTTTCATAAAAGGGTTTATATCTCCGGCTTTCCAATGAACCTCTTAAATTGATGAGCTATTTTGTAGAGTGAAAAACATATATTTTGCTTATTTTTAGCTCTTCTGTGACTTGAATAGTGCATTGGATTTTCGTAGTTGCCGTGATGCTTTGTGTGATATTTTGGATTATGAAAGTCGGGAATCTAATCCAGAGAAGTGCTTATATAAATGCACCATCCTTTGGCGGCAAAGAATCTTTTGCCAGTTTTTGGCGTGCTACCTCATGTATTACGACAACATAGGTGATCTTAAATTTAGTCATTCTAAATAAAGATATGCTCTTGACACGTTGAAATAAGGTTTTCATACGGTATGAAAGAAGCTTCTTGTTAACGAGAAAGTTCATTATTTTTTTGGTAGATGCCGACGATTGGCGTTCGAAGTGTCACAATTTGTTGCCTCATCTTTTGGCTTTTGCGGAAGGACTTGCACCTTATGTTCTGGAAGAATTTAAAAAAGTAGGACAATTCATTTCATTTTTAGAAAACATTTCAGTTTAAAATTAAAAAAAGACAAGTTGTGTGGTTTTTGACTGGGTTTGATGCAGTCTTAGTTCGCTGTAAAGGGTTATTATTCAATTACAAGAATCTTTTCACAGTGTTTTTAAGTTTTTTCAAACTAGTAACGTTTACGAAGTCGTACCTTATCTGAATTTGTTTCAGAATGACCAATAGCTTAATCTTGAAATAGACTTTTCTCTGTTTATTTCCTAATACGGTTGTTTTAATTTGCGTTTTAGCTTCTCCGAATACTCCAAAGTTTAGTGGGATCGAGTTTGGACAGTGATGTTGAAGAAAGCGTTCTAAAGGCTTTATCTTACCATCTTAATACGAATCCTCAATTGTTTGACGACTCGTTCATATGCAAAGCAACAGCCAATTTAAAAAGCTTGGTCGTATCTGGCAAAACCACGGTAAACTTTTTGATCTCATCATATGATTTTACCATTTTTATTGGAAATTTTATAGCTTTTAAAATCCAAAATGATTTTCCATATTCTGTTCCTTATCTGGTGATGTAGTAATTTCTTGATACTCATGAACTGTGTTGTTGCACCAGTACTATTCCAGTTCTTTATTGCGACGACGGTTGTTAAACTTTTCTGCAATTATAATTACATTACAGGTACACTAAACTCGTAGCATTTTTGGTAGATATTTTTAGTTCATTGAAGCAGCTTTTATCCGTTAGCGCTAACAAACAGTACACATAGAGGGAGAGCAGGTGAAACCAAAATTTACTCTTTTTGGTTTGGGATTAGTGTACCCTCATGGGATTTTTTTTTAGGCCCGAATAACTAGTAAGAGGGGATTGTAAGCGTAAAGTTTGATTTACAAACAGACCAGTCTGAGGTGTTGAAGGAGCTACATTTTTTTTTTCTTTGAATGAATATGTTTGAGAGACTATAGTGGAGGTCTACTGAACTTTGACCTTCAGAATTTTTTGTTTTTTTGTTAGCATGCCTGTGGATTAAAAAGTGATAAGTGGCTATTTATTTCCACAAAATTAGTTGCAGTCTGTAGTGTAAAAAAGCTTTAAAAAACCGTGTGTAGAAGTGTCTTTTCCCCAAGAAAAAAGTCTACTTTCCAGCATATTGATACTACGAGGAGATAATTTTATTGCGCCGTGGATCAGCTGACAGCGAGAGCGAGATAATTGTAAACTCATTGTACTTCCTTTACGCTCGAGCTTTTTCTAATGCTTGGTCGTAAATTGTTGTCTTGATGTGTTTCTTGCGAAAGCAAATGACTGATACCTGCATAATAGAGGGAATTTGAAATTATGAGGTTTTTCAGTTCAGTCCAGTATTTCGTAGCTTAGGTTTCCGGTTATCGCCTAATAATTTTAGTAAGGCATAAAAGTAAACGTTTCTTCAAGTGTTTTCCTAAAGAGACTTAAGTGTACTTTCGTGTTTAGCTGTGCTTGATCCGCTGCTGTAGCTGCAAACTTTTTTCATCATTGAAGGTATAAGAAGCCGGTTTTTGAAAAGATTGATTGCATTTCTAGGTTCTGTTTGATATGCTAAAGTTTTTGATGTTACACGAGTTCGCAATTCCAAAAAAAAAACTAGGCTTTTTAGTACTTCGTGATTTAACCGTTGTGGGTAATGCGTTTATTTAAACAGGCTGTAGCATTTGTCTCTGTCAGGCTTTCACATCTAAAGGAAAACCAGGACGTTATTCTGAAGTCTCATTTCATTCTTGATGGCATTATATCTTCTAAAATAATGTAATTACCGTATGCCTAGGGTTGCAAACTGAGATAAAACTAAGATGAGATGGCTACTTTTTCTAAGCAGTTTCGTATTTAATGGCTTCGAATTGCCTTTTCCTCTCCGAACATTTTGCGAACAAGTATGCATACGAACGAATGTTATAATTTGTATAATGCTTTTCAAGTATCAAGGCATAGTTAACTACTTTTCGCAGCATAACTGTGTTACGTTCGTTGGCAGTCAGCAAATTTCTTCAAAGCATTGGAAGTCTTAATATGTTGAGACAACAGCACACTTCCTTTTCTTTCGACTGAATGTAATCACTGTAAAATCTATTTGTTTTTTTACTACAATTTTTATTCTTTCTTTCTTTGCAGGCCATTCAGCTCTATTCCATCAAATGTCTGCAAGGTATAGTACGGCATTTTCCTAGCCGCACACTGTTTTCAAATTCGGATGAGATACTTTTTAGTCTTACGCTAGCTACTGGCTCTAAAAAACGAGTGATTCGATCGGCAGCCGCCATCGTTAAAAATTTGTGGTATGCTCTTTTAAACAGAACATTTAAAAAAAAAAAAACATGTTCCTCAAAGTTAACTGAAATATTCAGACGTTCAACTCCTCGTTTCTGATAATTCAGGGAGCTTAAATGCGTTCAGTAATGGCTAAACAGATCTCAAAACCTCTTCAATTTTCTGGTGAACGAGAGAACTCCAGTGTTGGATTTTTTGGCAAGGTGAGCCTCCTAATTACCCTTTCCTGAAAGTAGATCTAAGGTACCTTCATAATTTCTCAGCTGACCCTACACACAGTTGACTTCGCTTCCAAAGCGCAATAAATGCTTTCACGACAACACTCCATGACTCTAACTCACACCATTCAATTACTTAATACTTCTCCTGAAACTATTAGGGCCAGTGAGCACAGAGGCACGGTTTTTAATGTTTTTGGCGAATTTACGTGCAAATGTCTTGCTGTTTTACCGTATTTTTTATATTTTTTAACACTGCAATAGTTTTTCTTCGAATTTTTATGGATTCTCGCAGGAGATTGCGAGCCTCGCATTCCTTACAGTGGTACCAGTTTCTCTACCAGTAAAGGTTTTTTCAAGATACATTTTGTCTACTAAAGGTGCTGCCTACTTTAAACCGTCACGAAGTAATATCATTAATGGCAGTTCTTGCACAATAGAGAAGCTGCACCTAGTCCTGAATTCTGTTCTTAAATGTCACTGGAACTGGAGGCTTGAATCATAAAGTTGAGATTTAAGTTATTGCTTCTGGTGTAACTGTCTTTGACTGTTTTTAAAGCCCAATCAGTAAGGTTATGGTTTCAAGTCCAAATGCCTACTGGTCTCAATGAATTAATTGCAGCAAACGCTGCCTGTATTTGTTGAGCATTTCCCGGTTGATTCTTCTCACTTTGTTTCATTATCTTATTCGTCGTTCCAACTGTTTACGACAACTTATTTAAATCAACGTTTAAATTATTTTTCTGTAGTCTTTGGATCTCGATGTCGACACTCACATTTAAAAGTGGACATCTAATAATTTTATTCCAAACTGAAGGTAGTTGTAGCTTCTACCAAATAAATGAAACCTTACCCCAGGTTTCAACATTACTGAGGCTTAATAGTAAACCTTTCGATCGAAGAATTCCTAACTCACAAGTTGTCTACATTTTCCAAAAAGACTTAAACCTTGTGCGCTCAATTCCAGTGGCATACTAGTTGAATTATAATTGTTATACCTAATTTGAATTAAGGTGAGGGCGGAAAAACTTTTAATTTCAGAAACGGCAGTAAGGTAGGACTGGGTAATATAAAATAAGCAGTAATTTATCAATTCGAAAAACTCCAGTGTTTTTTTTTATTGTTGTACGTGCATACAGTCGCGTCACACAAGGGTTGTTGCACAAAGTCAAGCATTTCGTAGTCCCATAAATACGTCAGGTCCTGCATGCTAGTACGTCTACTCGTCCCAGATGTCATTTGCAATCCCGTACACCTCTTTCTACAAACAATTTAAAGCCTCATATGAATGTCTAGGCAAATTAACAATCGTCCACTGAAAACTAGTTTTCTAAGGAACTCAATTCATCGTTTTCAGTTAGTGTCGCCAGTCTGCTTAGCAGTTAGCGAGTAGTGAACACCTCTCCAAAGCAGTAGCTCATCATGTGTCCCTAAATGTGTTTAAATGCAATAGGTGTGGTAATCAAGAATGTCAGTCGCAAAGAGTACAAGTAAACGTTGCGCTTCCTGGTAAGAATGAGCTTTGGATATGCCTTAGGAAGTAGAGAGTAAACATTTGTCTGTAGAGCTTTTAACAGCTGAAGTGGCTTCAGACCTGTAGACATCTGAATACTTAAAAAAAAAATTTGCAAGTTTTTGACTGTTGGGTGTACCCAAAGTGGCTAAAGATCGATTGTGTTACGGGTATTCATCCCCAAAAATGAAAACTCAGAAGTCAAGAACTCTAGAGAACTAATTTATATCCAATAACCAATGAAAATATTATATAATGGCCTAAGAAGTAACACCAACCTTGTTCTAAAATAGACCCGCGTCCCATTACAACGATACAATCGGCACTGATTACTGTCGATAACCTGTGGGCAATTATTACGCATGTTCTGCCTTGGACTGCCCTGTTCAGAGCCTCTTGCACAACCTAAACAATAAATAAAGTCACTGAAGAACAACTCCGTTTTGCACTAGAAAACGAAAATTGAGCTTTAGCCGACCTAGCAGCAACTCAAAAAGGCCTACCGTTTCACTCTCTGCGTCAAGCGCACTCGTAGCTTCATCCAACAATAAAATTTTTGGATCGCGAATAAGTGTTCTAGCTATGGCTATTCTTTGCTTCTGACCTCCTGATAACTGGACTCCCTTCTCACCAACTTTCGTTTCGTAACCCTGACAAATAACATCGTGGAAATAAAAAGAATGCTTTTTAAGGACAGTTGTATGGTCTGTGAGGAAAACCGACCATAAACTTCTTTAACCTAATTGTACTTTTAACGACTGTTTACTCACGGCTGGCAAACTGACAATAAAGTCATGGATATTCGCCTGTTGCGCAACTTCAAAAATTTTATTGTCGTCAACTGTCCTTCGCATTAGTCCGTAAACAATGTTTTCCTTAATGGTGCAGTCAAATAAAATTGGTTCCTGAGAAACCACAGCAAAACATGAACGAAGATACTGGGGATTGAAATCTCGAACGTTGTATCCATCCAGTAACTAAAATTCTTAAATTTTCAAAAAATTCTTTGAACAGACTAAAAAGTTCTTGTGAAAAGTATACTTACAACTTTGCCGCACGAGAAATCGTAAAACCTTTCTAGTATAGAAACAACTGTGCTTTTACCGCATCCACTTGCACCAACAATAGCAAGCTTTTTTCCAATATCTACTTCCAGACTAAGACCCTTCAAAACTCCCACTGTCGGACGTTCTGGATATGCGAAACGCAGGTTATTTGTGCTTATTTTATCATTCACTTCCTGTAAGTGGTACTTTCTAGAAGTTTTCTGTTTGTTGCCTTATGAAAGATGGAAGAATGAAGGAGTGAAGCTTACAAGTCTCACTCCTTGAAGCGACAAGCCGTTAATCTTGGAATCTTCTCGAAGCATTTTGAAAATTATTCCTGCTGACAATTTCGCCTTAACATACTCTGGGAAATATGCACTAATAAATCCTCTACCACCAGTTGTAAAATTTATAGCATATGTTACTCTGAAAAAAAAAACAGTCATTTTCACAAACAGTCCTTAGTTAATCTTATTACAAATGAAGCTCATCTATGTTACCAAACCTGAGCACTTGCATCCGGCCCAGAACACCCGTGCTGATGAAGTACAAACCAAGGCGAAAGGAAAAAGTGTATATGAAGAAAAAGGCCGAATGCGAGAGACCAAAGCAAAGCCCCTGAAACTTCGTGTGCTTTAGATTTCGAGAATTACTGAAAAAAATTCAAATTGGTCGGAAGTAATTTCTAAAGTAACAAAAGAAAAGCAAAAAACTGGCAGAATGAAAAATCTCACCGATTTACCATTGATCTATTAATTGGAGCTTGCATATGCGATATGCGTTACCTGTGTTATATCCCTTTGCAGTATTTTTCAACGATATGCATTTAAATGGTAGCAGAAGAGCCTAGAGAACTTTTCGTGGAGGTTGAGCGTATGAACTGCGCGGATATTTTCAATAGCCTAAGGAGCAACCTATAGTCGCGAAGTAACCATCTACATTTTCAGAGCAGGAATTGATTGTCTCATCAAGAAAACCAAAGGTTTCAAAAAATAAAAAAATTACTTTGCCACTGGTCTCAACTTCCTTTGAAGACTTGCGATGACGACCCTCCATAAATCGGATGTGTAAGTAGTGAGCGAACCCGGCAAATGGTACTAGGGCAACAATTAAAGATGCTAGCTGCCAACTGTAAGCGAAAGCTATAGAGATACCACAAGCAGTTGTAACCAAAGACGTGATAACACTTCCCAAACGGTAGTCAACTGCCTGGAATGGCGTTTCAAAGGTAAAGTTCATTTCAAAAATTATGAGTTTCTGGAATTTACAAATTAATAATTACAATAAAATGAAGTCTATAAAGTGCGCGAGTCCACAGAAAAATTCTTATGCTTTAATCAAAATGGTTTTCAAATCAAAATCAATCTGTTTCTTCTGAAAGTAAGTTCATTCTCAAACTTAAAACACCTTGAAAATTGAAATAGCTATCTTTTTGCGATTAAAAGCAAAAAACTTTCCGTATGAGGCATATTTACTAAAAGCTGACTCTCCCACTTCACTTACTACAAACGTTTACAGGATAATGCCCAACAAGCAACAAGAATTTTGAAAGTTTAGTGAAGAACAGCAAAGCACATTTATACAAGCAACATATATTCTGCGCAATATTATTGCGCGAGAGAGGTAGAACTGGTAAAACAAGATATCCGTTCACTACATTATACTGCTTCTAGAATTTTATATATCTGACGTCGCTGGACTTACATTGTTCAACAGATCTATTTTCACTCAATAATACTCACCGATTTTACGTTGGGAGCACCCATTGCCAAACGAGCCAAAATTTTACCACTTGAATGTTTTGGCATATCAAAGATAGCAACGTCCATACTGAGGATATTCCGAAACAGAATGTAGCGCAGTCTTCTTGTAAGTTTCTCCGCTGCATAACCAAAGCTTATAGCCTTTAAAATCAACTATTAACCTCTACAGTCAGTAGTAAGCTTCCTAAAAAATGACGTTTCTCATGGAGGTAAAGTAAAATTATCTCTAATGAGTGTTCAAACCTGCGAAGACACGCATAATGCCATAGAGCCTCCCAACACTAAAAACATCAGTGCCCAAAAATGCCCTTCATTCTTCATTTCTTCTTTCGGTTTTGAAAACATCTAAAAAATGCATATTTTTTTCACTTAAAATAAGCACTGGAAACGCTGATCCGCTGCAATCTGAAAACTGTTTTCGGTTTTACTTCAACAGCTGTAATACCTCTGCATGGATCGACTGGTAGTCAACATACGTTTAGAATTACTGAGAAAAGAAAGGCGAAGGATGGGAAGCCACAGCCCTGTATGGCATATATTATCAAGGCAAATGTTATGAAACCCCATTCTGGCAGCGAATACTTCAAAATGGCACAAAGATCAGATTCTTTTGCCCCCTCCTCTTTCAGATCTGAAATCCTCTCGAATAAATCTCTTTCCTTAACGCACTGTATGAAGGATGACATCCCATCAAAGAGTTCAATAAAAACGGGCTCTTTTCAAAGTTAGAACAACGACTTATAAGACAAACCCTTCTTTAAGCGTTCAACTTCATTTTCGTTATCCGAGTTGACCGTGACGTCATTTTTAAAGGACTTGAAAGGCTGAGACGAACAACGCAACTCTTCCTCACAAGTGTCACTTGGCTGAAGCGAGGCAGAAGACCCAACAGAAAGCTGTCGATCCAAGGGGCTTGACGTAGTCTGGGAACCTAAACACCTTATTACTCAAGTAACCCATAACTGAACAATAATTTGCGACTCGTTGTTAAGGACCTCTAACCATTTCCTTCCAAGTCGGAAATTATCTGCGCATTGACCAAATCATGACAGTATCCACATTTTGCAATCAGTGTCTGATGGGTCCCAGCTTCTACTATACTTCCATCCTTGACAACCAGTATTTTATCAGCGTTTTTTACACTGGAAAGCCAATGGGCAATCACCAAAGTTGTTCGATTTTTGGCTGCCTTCAAATAATAAATGACATTAAAATACGGTTAAAGCTATTAATAATGTAACCTGCGAAATAAGATTAAAATCTATCTTCTCTTGATTATGTAGAAAAGATTTACTGATTGAAAAGTGATATTCATCAAGTAACATTATGTTTACCAAACAAGTTTTAGTTCACAAGTGAGCAGAAGTGGAGAAATCACCTTGTTTAAAGCTTTCCTCACTAAGTTTTCACTTTCAGCATCAAGCGCGCTGGTTGCTTCATCTAACAAAAAACTTTTCGAATTCCGGACAATTGCTCGAGCTATTGCAATGCGTTGTTTCTGACCACCAGAAAGCTGAACCCCACGGTCACCAACCAAGGTGTTATACTTCTAAACCATAATTTGCTTTTGAAACTTTCAAATGCTAACTTTAAAACCGGAGAGGACGGTGTAAATCTGTGGCAAACCTATGGTTACCTCTGGGAGCTGGTTAATAAGTTTCTCAGCATTCGCAGTACGGCAAGCATCTATTATAACGGTACCGTCCTCTCGACAGACGCTACTTTTAATGGCGCTTACGAGTGTGAACTTAAAATGCCAAATTTTTAAAATCAAAAAGCATATCACTTCCAGTTTCTCGTGCTGATATTGGCAACAACTTTAATCTTTGCCGAGTAAGAAACACTTCAGGAGAGGCGAAAAAATGTGCAGGTCGCTGTACCCTTTTTCAAATAGTTAGCTACACACAGGTGAGAGAACTGAGTAGCAGCGGGCCCCTCGTCCACTTACGGCAAACACTGCTCTTTTTCTAGCTAGACTAATGTTTCAGCTCTGATGCAAGACAGGAAACATGCCCTTTGCTGCGGCCTAATACCCAGTGAGACTTGATTGATACGTTGAGTGTACAGAGGATGACTTTGACGCACCCAAAAGCACTGCAAGAAATCAACGCACTGAGAAGTTTCGGTCAGAGGAACGGCTTAAATATGTATATGCAACCTTTACTCAACTCTGTGTTTCTCACCACATCTCCGCTGGGTGGGTAAGCAGTTTTTCCTTTTTTCTTAAAAATCATTTTTTTTTTTTTTTTTTTTTTTTGAAATCACTGCATACTCTACTAAATTTTCAAAACATATTGCGAAGTATCGTGCAGTTGCACCGGTGTAATTTGGTCTTGATGTACACTGATGCCATCGGTTGTCGCAGTTGCTTATGTCTTGTTTTGTGACGAAATCTTGCACCGTATTACTATTCTAGCTGTACAGAATGAAAGCTTTCCGCAGTTCTGAGTACAGTTTTCGTTGTCAGCGGATTAATTTAACATATCTGGCACAACAGACTTCTGGGTTGACGTTTTAATTGTGACGATAGCATCCGGCCCGCCCAACAGCATACCTGAGCAAACAAGTTGATTTAGTCATGAATTACTGCTATAAAGGTAAATTTTTTAGAGTGCGAAAAGGACAACAAAAACTACGAATCACCAATCGACTAACGTGTTTGAAATTTCGCATTTAATGATGTAATAACGGTACTTTGGGTACATAAACGCAGATGCAACAGATAAATGCGCACAGATGTGAATTTGACGACTTAAAAACGAAGCAATATGATGACTTTCAATTTTAAGCATTAGAAGAAATCCGATGAATCAAGTAGTTTTAAATAGCAAATTAGATGAAAATAGCAACCCAAAAGAACCAAAGAGCAAATTAGACCTAGGTGCTGTGTTATTAACAAAATTTGATCAATTTACATTCTGTGGTGTTAAAAGCGGAGATTTTACAAACTTCTTTTTTTTCAAACACAAATCTCGCATTCCATTTCACTGCACCGTTGAAGAGTTTATTGACTGGTAGTAGCAGATCCTCTTTCGCGGATCATTTGCAAGGCGACACTGTACTGTTTTTCGTATTCAGTAATTTCGTTTCACTTGGGGTTCGTGAACAAGCAGCTTCCTGTCGATGTCAACGAAGTCATAGCTTCAGATTTGCTGTAAGCAGGACCTGCAGGCTTGTTAACCGTCTCACACAATTTGGTATTTTACAGGAAAGCACTGAACTGTCGATGCAATCAGTTCGCTTCATATAGGACGGGTAATGCCGTGAAATTCATAACTTTTCATGTACATAACTAAATAAATAAGTATATATACACGCTTCGCCGACCGATAAGTTCTTGCTTCTTTTTAGATTCTAAAAATCTGCGTCGTTCGCAATTTTAGGAAGTGTTTAAAAGTTTATTTAATAAAGAACCATCAACTGAACTTTCCAAAAAACTAGCTGTATGTATATAAAGTATAAGTATATATACATATAGCAGCATGACGTAACATGTAATGGAAATTACGTATTGCAGACAGCGTCAGATGATCTGATAATCAGAAGATAGTAACTCCCTTAATTTTGACTTAAATTCATAATATGGTGAAGGAAAACTGTGTTATTGCAAGGGTTGCACAGTCTTTATTAGAGGCTCAAGTTTTGCAAAAACGGTCTTTGAGTCAGCTATGGATGACAGCTTACACTAGTTACGATAACAGGTAACATGCCGTTGTTAGTGTTTCGCTAGTTCTCCGAAACATTCTTTGGCAACATCATTCGCACTGGTCTTCTCATTGTAAATATTTGAATTGCTTGAAATTTTCAG